ATAGCTAATGGTGCAGTAGCGACCAGTGAAGAGGCGGGGCCAGGAGCTATGAATCTACCCTTGCAACCACAACTAGGTGAGTACACAGACAGAGACGAACACTTACCTGGAGACAATCGCAGTTCTCACTCTCCTTCCTGATGATATCGAGGACGGAATCGACCAGTTCTGCGCCCTCCGTGTAATGACCCTTGGCCCAATTGTTGCCTGCTCCACTCTGACCTATCAAATATACACACACACACATTATCCCACTTACAATACCTCTCCACGCTTCTATAACCACAACTTTGGATCTAAATACTAGGGCTGCAGACAATAGTGAAGACATTTTGCAGACCAAGCTATTAGTATTAGGACAACATTTCGAACTGTTCGGATTTCACTCTGTAAACAGAGCGAAACGAATTGATAAAAACGGCTTTTCGCTCTCTAAACAGCGAAAAGTTGTCCCAATAAAATCCTGCTCTGTGTAGTATCTTAACAATAACATTACAATGGATAATGAGGCAAGTGCAGTGTAATGCGAACCTTCACTGACATCGCATTATGCTGCATTCGTGTCTCCATCCACCGTGTTGGGATTTTACATCACTTCTCCGGTACCATCTTGTTGGTATCACAATACCATTTCCCAGGTTAGGTCTTAGTCATATGATGACCCAATGGAAATAAGTCACTGACCTTTTTTGGGGGTTATCCTAGGTAATTTACACTATGTATGATAATTGTACTTGTGTGTACCTGTGCCTAAATAATCATAAGCCACTGGAGCTTTTGGTCTTTGACCGAGGCCTTCCACTGGCTTACCCTTCCACCCCTTTAAAAATTGAGAATCTTAATCCATTAACAATACAACCAGAAATCTCAGTGACACATTACTGATTTTTTTATATAGAGGGATAAGGGAGAGGGATCTTGATTCAAAGAATCTGAGCTACTAGTCCTGTACTCCGATCAAACGTGATGATCCCAACTTCTTTGCTCCTATCCCTTAGGCACTGAATAACCCTTACTGGTTTAGAGTTTCTACGTGAATATAACAATAATGCTAATACCATCAATAACAGAAAAAAAAATGATAAATGAAATAATTCCCATAAACACCTCAATTACTGGGAACGCTTAAGTTCCTCAACCTGTACTCCCTAGAATGCAGGCGGGAGAGATACATGTTTATATACACTTAGAAAATTCTAGAGGGATTAGTACCAAACTTGCACGGAAAATCACTCCCTATGAAAGCAAAAGACTCGGCAGACGATGCAACATCCCCCCAATGAAAAGCTGGGGTGCCACTAGCACGATAAGAGACAACACAATAAGTGTCAGGGGCCCAAGACTTTTCAACTGCCTCCCAGCATACATTAGGTTGATTACCAATAGACCCCTGGCTGTCTTCAAGCAGGCACTGGACAGACACCTAAAGTCAGTACCTGACCAGCAGGGCTGTGGTTCGTACGTCGGGTTGTGTGGTTAACAGTGACAGCCTGGTTGATCAGGCCTTGATCCACCATGAGGCCTGGTCACAGACCGGACCGCGGGGGCGTTGACCCCCGGAACCCTCTCCAGATATACTCCAGGTATCGATAAAAAAAATATCAAGTGGGGGCGCGCAGGAAAGAACCAGAATGTTCCGGGAAGTACCAAGGTGCACAGGGAACTACTAAGAAGTGCTAGGAAGTACGGGATGTGCGGGGAAACACCAGGATGTGCGGGGAAGTACCAAGGGATCCGGGAAACCCCCTTAAATACAAAATATACCCCCCAAGTCTAGGAACACTAATGTTAAAACCCCCTAAGGTTACTAGGAAGTCCAAAGCACCCAAGGTTACCCGGGGGAACCCCCAAAAAAAGCCAGGATGTACTGGGAAGCACTATGGTATACCGGGAAGCGCCAGGGTATGCCGGGAAGCACCAGGGTGTGCCGGGATGCATCAGGGTGTGCCGGGAAGCACCAGGGTGTGCCGGGAAGCACCAGTGTGTGCCGGGAAGCACCAGGGTGTGCCGGGAAGCACCAGGAAGCACCAAGATGTACCAGGATGTACCAGAAAGCACCAAGATGTACCAGGATATACCGGGAAGCACCAAGATGTACCGGGAAGAGCCAAGACGTACTGGGAAGTACCATGGTATACTAGGAAGTACCAGAATGTAGCGAGAAGCACCAGTGTGTGCCGGAAAGTACCAGACGAAGAAGGAACTCACCGAAAATGAAGTTGTCAGGCTTGAAGAGTCCTCCGTACGTTGATGACCTGACGGCGTCCATGGTGCCAGGTTCCAGGTCCACCAAGACTGACCTGGGCACGTAGCGACCTCCTGCGGATGCCACACACACACACTCACCAGTTGTAGGATCATACCTCACGTTATAACTAAGAATAGCATTTATGTTTGAAACCAACAAATGGGCAGGAACAGACAGGCGCACGCAGACAAAAGGATAGACAAGAGGGCATTTCCACACAGACAGTCATTCAGATAGACACGGGCAGTTAGCTATAGACATAAGCATTCATTTTCTCTTAACACGGGCGTTTCGGGACGGACACGGACACAGCCAACATTTACCTGTAAAACAGTAAATTAACAAGAGTCTTATCGCTGGAAAATCCGCATGCAAAAGGAAAAGATAAATATAATTTTCACTTTATTGGCGAAGACGTAAGTTGCAACTGGTGAGATGGAAACCCAGTTATACACATCTGAAGTTATGGAACCTGACAACATATCTTGTATACTGAAAAAGTATGGATATTTAGGAAGCACATGGATATATGAAGTCATTCAACATCTTTGTCAAAAGGGTATTTACACAACACTCAAACTAATATTTGCCCCAAAAATTTGAAGCCCATCACAGTAAGTTAAAATAACCTGCATCACAATTAGTTTGGTAACACATAATATCCCCCAAATTTCCATGAGGTCACTACAGGTTTTCACGTTAACTACATAAACCACCACTGAGGCAGAGAAACCAAAGCCAGGGATAAACTTGAAATGTGCTTCATAGTGAGCGGCAAGCCACGCGCCTCACAGCTGCAGCAGATGGCTGTCGGTGAGGCATGACCTAACCTCAGTCTATAAAGAACTGTTTTATAGTGGCTATTGTTGCAGAGAAAAGATCCAAATATTCACTTCCTATCGAATCTACAATAACTTGAACCACTGAGCCCATTGTGCCTGCCACTTCTCAAAGATATATCAGTGTATGTGGCTCATGAAGTCACTGTGAAGGAGTCTACTATAGTGCGAGTTCGATGTAGCAGTCTTTGCCTCGGCCACACCCACTCATTACCAGGGCTCTCCTTGTGAAGGAGAATCTTACAAAGGCATCAGAAGGATCCTGCCAGGAATGTAATGGTTTACCTGGAGTTTACCTGGAGAGAGTTCTGGGGGTCAACGCCCCCGCGGCCCGGTCTGTGACCAGGCCTCCTGGTGGATCAGAGCCTGATCAACCAGGCTGTTGCTGCTGGCTGCACGCAAACCAACATACGAGTCACAGCCCGGCTGGTCAGGAGCCGACTTTAGGTGCTTGTCCAGTGCCAGCTTGAAGACTGCCAGGGGTCTGTTGGTAATCCCCCTTATGTATGCTGGGAGGCAGTTGAACAGTCTCGGGCCCCTGACACTTATTGTATGGTCTCTTAACGTGCTAGTGACACCCCTGCTTTTCATTGGGGGGATGTTGCATCGTCTGCCAAGTCTTTTGCTTTCGTAGTGAGTGATTTTCGTGTGCAAGTTCGGTACTAGTCCCTCTAGGATTTTCCAGGTGTATATAATCATGTATCTCTTCCGCCTGCGTTCCAGGGAATACAGTTTTAGGAACCTCAAGCGCTCCCAGTAATTGAGGTGTTTTATCTCCGTTATGCGCGCCGTGAAGGTTCTCTGTACATTTTCTAGGTCAGCAATTTCACCTGCCTTGAAAGGGGCTGTTAGTGTGCAGCAATATTCCAGCCTAGATAGAACAAGTGACCTGAAGAGTGTCATCATGGGCTTGGCCTCCCTAGTTTTGAAGGTTCTCATTATCCATCCTGTCATTTTTCTAGCAGATGCGATTGATACAATGTTATGGTCCTTGAAGGTGAGATCCTCCGACATGATCACTCCCAGGTCTTTGACGTTGGTGTTTCGCTCTATTTTGTGGCCAGAATTTGTTTTGTACTCTGATGAAGATTTAATTTCCTCGTGTTTACCATATCTGAGTAATTGAAATTTCTCATCGTTGAACTTTATATTGTTTTCTGCAGCCCACTGAAAGATTCGGTTGATGTCCGCCTGGAGCCTTGCAGTGTCTGCAATGGAAGACACTGTCATGCAGATTCGGGTGTCATCTGCAAAGGAAGACACGGTGCTGTGGCTGACATCCTTGTCTATGTCAGATATGAGGATGAGGAACAAGATGGGAGCGAGTACTGTGCCCTGTGGGACAGAGCTTTTCACCGTAGCTGCCTCGGACTTTACTCTGTTGACTACTACTCTGTGTTCTGTTAGTGAGGAAATTATAGATCCATCGACCGACTTTTCCTGTTATTCCTTTAGCACGCATTTTGTGCGCTATTACGCCATGGTCACACTTGTCGAAGGCTTTTGCAAAGTCTGTATATATTACATCTGCATTCTTTTTATCTTCTAGTGCATTTAGGACCTTGTCGTAGTGATCCAATAGTTGAGACAGACAGGAGCGACCTGTTCTAAACCCATGTTGCCCTGGGTTGTGTAACTGATGGGTTTCTAGAGGGTGGCGATCTTGCTTCTTAGGACCCTTTCAAAGATTTTTTTTGATATGGGATGTTATTTGCTATCGGTCTGTAGTTCTTTGCTGTTGCTTTTATCCCCCCCTTTGTGGAGTGGGGCTATGTCTGTTGTTTTTAGTAACTGGGGGAAACGACCCACGTGTCCATGCTCCCTCTCCATAGGATGGAAAAGGCTCGTGTTGGGGCTTCTTGCGTTCTTGTGAACACGGAGTTCCATGAGTCTGGCCTGGGGCAGAGTGCATGGGCATGTCATTTTTGCCTGTTCGAAGTCATTTGGCGTCAGGTTTAACTTCGGATAGGCTTGTGTTAACCAAATTTTGTGGCTCTCTCATAAAAAATTCATTTTGATTCTTCGCTCTCAGTCTGGTTAGCGGCTTGCAAAAAACTGATTTCATATTATGGACTTGAGTAGCTCACTCTTTTCCTTGCTGTCATCTGTGTAGGACCCATCTTGTTTAAGTAGGGGCCCAATACTGGACGTTGTTCTCGACTTTGATTTGGCATAGAAGAAATACTTTGGGTTTCTTTCGATTTCATTTATGGCTTTTAGTTCTTCCCGCATTCCGGGACCCCTTAAGATTCCTTTAGCTTAAGTTCGATGCTTGCATTTCTTGACCCAGTGTCTCCCGACGCATTTCAGATATATTGACCTCTTTTAGCCGCTCTGTTATTCTTTTCCGTCGCCTGTAAAGGGAGCGCCTGTCTCTTTCTATTTTACATCTACTCCTCTTTTTTCTTAGAGGAATAAGCCTTGTGCATACATCGAGTGCCACCAAGTTAATCTGTTCTAGGCATAAGTTGGGGTCTGTGTTGCTTAGTATATCTTCCCAGCTTATATCGGTTAGGACTTGGTTTACTTGGTCCCACTTTATGTTTTTGTTGTTAAGTTGAATTTGGTGAATGCTCCCTCGTGACTAGTCTCATTATGTCGGTCTGGGGCTCCACGCATACATGTCTGAACCTCAATTATGTTGTGATCTGAGTATACTGTTTTTGATATGGTGACATTTCTTATCAGATCATCATTGTTAGTGAAGATGAGGTCTAGTGTATTCTCCAGTCTAGTAGGCTCTATTATTTGCTGGTTTAAATTGAATTTTGTGCAGAGATTTAAAAGCTCGTGTGAGTGTGAGTTTTCATCAGAGCTGCCTCCTGGTGTTATTACTGCAACAATATTATTTGCTATATTCCTCCATTTTAGGTGCCTTAAGTTGAAATCCCCCAGGAGCAAGATGTTGGGTGCAGGAGCTGGAAGATTTTCCGGACAGTGGTCAATTTTTAACAGCTGTTCCTGGAATTGCTGGGATGTTGCATCCGGAGGCTTGTAGACTACCACAATGACTAGGTTTTGGTTCTCGACCTTTACTGCTAAAACTTCCACTACATCATTTGAGGCATTTAGCAGTTCTGTGCAAACAAGTGACTCTGCAATGTACAGGCCCACCCTTCCCCCCCCCTTTTGCCTGTTCACTCTGTCACATCTGTATAGGTTGTATCCTGGGATCCATATTTCGTTGTCCAAGTGATCCTTTATGTGGGTCTCAGTGAAAGCCGCGAACATTGCCTTTGCCTCTGCAAGCAGTCCACGGATGAAAGGTATTTTGTTGTTTGTTGCTGGCTTTAGACCCTGTATATTTGCAAAGAAGAATGTCATCGGACTGGTGGTATTGTTGGTACTGGGGGATTATTTTTTTTCTGGCATTAGTATCTGTATCTGTTGGTTTATGGTATGTTAATCTCTGTGAAAACACTAAGACATGAAGAATTCCTCGAGTCCCACTCAGTGTGTGCATCAGATTTGCCTATATAACTCTTCAAAAGGCTGCCTCGATACTGATGAAGGAGTGATAATCCAATGAACATGTGCTGCCCTGCATTTCCCTGGATCAAACCTTATTTCCTCCCATTCCTCAGATACTTTAATACCCCTCTGAGTTTAGCACTTTCCCAAGATTATAATAAGAATGAAGCGAAAAACTAATCTGCAGTGTACGATGATATGGGACAGTGATCTGTAGAGTGAGAGTGAAGACTAACCTGCTGCCTCGTTGTAGTACACGACAATTCGTTCTAGTTGCAAGTCGTGTGTACCTGTGTAGAGACCAGAGGCAGCCACCCCGTGCTCGTCACTGATCATCTCCCAGAACTGTCAACAATAACAATGTTAGCAACTACAACGTTAATTCATGGTGAGGTTTAGCGTTAATATTAACCCATATGATTTACACAGTACTAAAACCGTTAAATCATGTGCTTTGAAGATAAAAACAGCCATCATTAACACTATTCAATTATTCTAAAACTTTGCGTGTATCAAAACCAGTTTGCATATGATTTTGAAATACAAGACACTCAAAGGATTCAACCAAGTGGATAGTGTTAGTGTGAAACGTGAGGCACTGGGGTAAGGGAGCCTACATGGTAACTTAAATTCATATCAATCACAGAAACTCTAAAGAAATAATACTACAGTCTCATGGTTGATGAGTGGAATGAGCTAGCCGAGATGGAAAACATACATTCTTAACACTCATGAATGTGATGGGGCCCAACAGACCAGAATCCAATAAGACTGGGTGACTATATATTAAAAGAAAGGACTGAGTTAAAATCGTGTAAACATGAGTGAATACACATGAGGGAGAGAGGTGCTTGCTGTCTATCTACTGTATCACTAAGTAAACAACCAAAGTAAAATACTGTGCGTATGTGTAATGATATCGACTTGCTGATTCTGACAGGCATCTACAGACCCTCACACCAAAACAGTGACCATAGTAATTGTTTATGGGGCGGGCGAAACTGCTCAGATTCTAAATAAGAAAATGTAGTTTAATTAATGGGAGATTTTTACTTTAGTCATATTCATCAGAGGAATCTGACAGTAAATGTAAGGTCTGATGACTTTCCAGATGTACAGTAGTACAGGACTTCTTTTTATAACAGTTTGCCGCACGCGGCATTAAAACACTACTAACCACCTTATGAAATGGAATTATCATCGTCTAGCTATCTAAGAACCAGACACACGGAGATGCAAGTGCCTGGAGGCAGCCCTTGTATCAGTCTCCAACATTAATAATAATAATAATAATAATAATAATTTCTCCAAGCCATACAAATAAGGTATATAATGTATTAGTACAATAGTAGGCATTAAAAAAAAGCCACTAATTATGCAATGCATTTCGGGCAACTAATCATAAGGCTTACATACTACTTAAGAACTAAACACAATATTATTTAAGACTTCTTGTGTAATTAACTACAGTCATAAGTACAATAAGAAAGGTAGCTAATGACAAACGGTAAATTACAAAAGAAATGCATATTATCTAAACTCGTTGAGTGGCCCGGTGGCCTGGTGGCTAAAGCTCCCGCTTCACACACGGAGGGCCCGGGTTCGATTCCCGGCGGGTGGAAACATTTCGACACGTTTCCTTACACCTGTTGTCCTGTTCACCTAGCAGCAAATAGGTACCTGGGTGTTAGTTGACTGGTGTGGGTCGCATCCTGGGGGACAAGATTAAGGACCCCAATGGAAATAAGTTAGACAGTCCTCGATGACGCACTGACTTTCTTGGGTTATCCTGGGTGGCTAACCCTCCGGGGTTAAAAATCCGAACGAAATCTTATCTTATCTTATCTTATCTTCAATGATCTTCAGGTTTATGGAGTTACTGAATGGAGACGGTGAAAATACAGCAAGTTATTTAAATTACAATACAAATATATTACCAATTATGTATGGGATTTGAAGGAAGGCTGGAATAACAGGAACAAATATGGATGAAAACAGGTTATATGACACAGCGTATTGAGGTCTACAGGGAATGAAGGATGCTTAAGACACCTTCTATACTATTCCACTCTCTTTCCCTATATATGATCATTGTGCCCATACAATGTATGTGTTGGCTTGACAAATCCCAAGGAGGGTAAATCGTTGTCTTGATAAATGCCTTGTTAAGTTACATACATGTCCATTTATCTAACAAATATCGGTATTGCAACCAATAATTACACAAAGCCAAATACGTCAGCAGACCCTGACAAACTATTTTTAAATGCTCCAAAGATGAACTAATCTCTTCAATATATCACTACAAATGTGTATCGTACGTGATATACGGAAAGCATGCAAACGCTATATCCATTTACAAAGTATAGATTAAAATATAAATCAATCAGCCTGGGAGTTGGATTTAATCACGCTTAATTCATGGGGAAAGGTAGCTTCAATTCATTGGATTACGAGCCCTTAACCAGCATCCTGGTGCCTCCCGGGAAGAGTAACATTTCAGCAAATACCTTCATATCTTAGGTGACTCGTCGTGTTGTGCCCCATCTATCACAGATGATCAATTGTAATAAATAATTCAAGCGGCAGGACAACAGTGTTATACAGCTGGGATTTCTTGCAGTTAAGATATCAGTCTGTGCAATTAACTGGTTTTGACTATTCGTGTGTACGGGTGGGAAGGGAGCTCTACCTCTTGGCTCCAACTTTAACTTTTGCTATTGGTGTGAAATGACCCTCTTAAATAGATTTAACCCCTTTTTTGACGTTCACTTTTACTGTGTTACTGTTCGGTTTGTTTCACTTTACTACTCGTTGTTGAAAAAATGGTCTTTAACATTCTTGGAAAATGGCTCGTGAAATCACAAAATTTATGGGGTAGAGACAGGAGGCTGGTGGAGATTTGGACGATACGTTCTCCTTCACAGAGTACTAGCACAGCTTCGGGAGTGGCAAGTCCTGCCTTACAAACTTAAGTCTTACGACATGCTGACGTGAGCTATGACAGAGCAAGAACACTACCTATTCTTTGACAATAAGAAGACTCTTGAAAACAGTAGCGCAAAATAGACGTACACAAGCTGAAGAAGGTTACGGCAACAAAGCAGTTAAAAATACATGAAAAAACAAAGAATTATGTAACCCTTATAGAGAATAAACTTGATTTGATTTGAAGTACTAACATGGACGAGAGTAACCAGGTGAGCCCCCAAGAATTACCTGGTTACAGTTTACTACACTACGCGGTTACAGTTTACTTCACTACGCGGACGATGCAAAACTAATGAGAATACAAACTAAAACAATGTAAAAAAAACTTATAAATTACAATGTAAGAAAATGCTACAAATTAAAAGATACAAAAGGGGTTACTAAGGATGCAACCTCAAAAAATGTAAATAAATGAAAATAAGCGTAATAGAGGAGACAGGAGTCATCCTGAGATGACAACCTATCGAACATGGCAATGAAAAAAAATGGGAGAAAACCTTACAAAGTATGACCAGAATAACGTCAGAGGTGCATGCCAGACTTCAAACGTAGGAAGGACTTATACAAACTAATGCAAAAATCCTTCAAAACACTGCATCATGAATGCAACACCGATACTCGAGTATTCCGTACTACCGTGGAGTCCTCGTCTAGTGAAGCATAAACAAATTTGAGAGTTGCAGCAAAGTTTGAACTAGAACTGCGGAACTACAAAGCAAGAACTAAGAACAGGAAACATTCAAATATATAAAAACACTGGTTGAAGGTACAAGTGAACCCTCGTGGAGAAAATGAAAGTTACTCAAGAATAACACTGTATATTTCGACCTGTAGCAAAGTCGCTTCAGTAGACTGAAGAAAAATGATCATGACATTAAGTACTCCAATGTATACATACTACGTTGAAGAAGAATCAGCGTGAACAGACAAGAGGAAGCTGTACATCCAAACAAGGCACACAATGAACCACTTTACGTAGTAAAGTAGTACGAACGGGGAAGCAGTGTAAGAGCTATTCACGTTCCCAAGTTTTAAAAGCAAACTCGTATACAGATCAAGTCACTCAACAATAAGGATCCAAGAGAAGGAGATCAACAGTCACAAACCCAGCTAGGTATTATACATAGGTACATACACAAGTATGATAGACAGGCAAGCACTACACTAAATCACATCCGCCGATCTAAAGTTATACGATCCTGGTACAAGATCTCACTTCCTGCAGACACAAGGCAAATACGAAGACATGCACAGGCAGCGTGACGGCTATCTTGATAAGTTGGGAGGAGCAGCAGCAACAACAACAGGAGGAGCAGCAGCAGCAGGAAGGAGCAGCAGGAAGGAGCAGCAGCAGGACAAAAAAAAAAGGACAACCTGAGGCAGCCATGACCACAGCATGTCCGTGTCACTACCTTTATCAATCTTCCAGACCAATTCCAGTTCTACCTGGATCAAAGATCAAAAACACAGACACTGCAATTCTTGGTGGTCACAGCGGTTACATTCGTGATTAGGTTCCGGCTTTTAATTTATAATTTCTCTTCTGTGAACTAAATCGATTCCAATCAGGAATCTGTCTTAGGAATCTCACCTAAGAATGTGTTTCTAAATTTGTCTCGTGTGGCATTCAAGAATGTGACTAAACTACTTGAGAATTTATTTAGTAATGCAATAAATGAATAAAAAATGTTAATTAAGTTTTCTTAAAAATTCTCAAAGATCTATTATTTCCGGCACATGTCAACTATATGAACCTGAATATTTCTATTTTATCTACGAATAATCTTTTCTACACAAGTACTGATTTTCTTTTATCAAACAGGTACTGTATAAAACTATAGTTCATTAGAGAGTTTAGTTTTATCAAACTGACAATGGGAAATTCCTCTTAGACTGTACCTAGTTTATCTTAAGATACCCAACCATGAATATAACACACGCAACAACTGGTGGTTTCTTAAATAAATGTTTCTTACATAAAGATAACCAAATATGCCTTTGATTTAATAATACATTAATAACTGTAGTAGTACAAGAATAACACTACCTAGTATACCATGGATAATTAAATCAAACATCCGAACTAGTGATAAATTAGACATGTGCAACACTTTAGAATCTTTATTGAGGTCCTGAGGAAACTTTTCGCCATACTGTTTGGCGAAACGTTTCCTCAATAATGATACCCAAGTGTTGCACGTGTCTAATTTATCACCTTTTCGGTTCTCTGAACCATTTATCTACGTCTAAATTAGTACATAAGACTTCAGAGAATATATCTAGGGTATCCTCAGAACATCACTACTCGAGCTCTCATATTTTTCGTCTCCACAGGTGCACTAAGTATCTAGGTA